GGCACCGGTTTGGAGGGATTTGGACAGCATGGGGTGGAGAGTGACGTCACAGTTCCAGAAAATATTTTGGTTACATCTAAGGAAGGAAAATAGATGCAGTGTTTGTTTTAACGGCACAAACGGGCACAAATCGAGCACAAACGAACTGCGCTGGTTTGGAGCGATTTTGGCAACATGGGGTGGAGAGTGACGTCACAGGGTCAAAAAATAATGTTTAATATCTCAAACACCAAACCAGTACAAATGTTCGTTTTCGCGGCACAAATCAGCACAAACATAGCACAAGAATGGCATAGTTTTGGTGATTATTTCTTTTTATGGGGTGCCAACTTCACGGAGGTAGGGATTGTAGGTGGGGGGAGTGAATGTCCCTCTCCCACCTTCAATACCACGACTGAGGTGCCCTTGAGCAAGGCACCGAACCCCCAACTGCTCCCCGGGCGCCACAGCAAAGAAAATGGCTGCCCATTGCTCCGGGTGTGTGTTCACAGTGTGTGTGTGCGCACTTTGGATGGGATAAATGCAGAGCACTAATTCCGAGTATGGGTCACCACATGTCACGTCACTTTCATAAACATATTTAACCTTCATCGTTCCCTCAAGTCCAGAATGCTTATATTGATCCTTTTTTTTTTCTAAATATTTATGTAGGATTATTATTTTTTATTTATTTATTTTTTTTATTTACCTTATATTCTGGATATTTTTAAGAAACTATGAGCAACTAAGCAATCTGTCTACATTATTTCACAAAAAAGCAGTCTTTTTCTATTCAAAACCTACAGCATACACTTTGAACTGGGTCACTGAGTGTCTCTGATGCCATCTGGTGGAAAAAAAAAATGACATAAAATCGCATTTTATATTTACTGCCGTCAGCGTAGCTTATAGAGATTCTTAACTGAGCAAAACAAGTGAAATGTAAAATTACTCCATCTTGAAGCTTCAGTTTGCTTGTTTATGCATTCAAATATAAATTTAGACATTAAAAAAATCTATATTTTGTCTTTTTTTAAGTTCAAACTGAATTATAACAGTATATCAATACAATTTCATAAATATGTAATACATATATAATATATATTTAAAAATGTAAATACAAATGGCAAAATGACAGTAATTCCCCAGCATTAATGTGTACAGTGTGTGTGTGTGTCTGTGTGTGTGTACCTACTTAACCATATTTTGGGGACAAATGTGTACCCAAAAGTGAGCTAAACCTGACAAAATCTCCAAAAACCTCCCTTTGGGGACGTCCTCATTTGTAAAACTGGTACAAAAATTAACAAAGTTTTTTTTTAATTGTAAAAATGCAGAAAGTTTCCTGTGAGGGGTAGGTTTAGGTGTAGGGTTGCTATAGGTCAATAGCGCATACAGTTTGTACAGTATAAAAACCATTACGCCTATGGA